GTGAACTAATCTTTTGCTGTGAACTAATCTTTCGCTGTGAACGAATCACTCTCTGTGAACTAATCTTTCGCCGTGAACTAATCTTTTGCTGTGAACGAATCATTCTCTGTGAACTAATCTTTTGCTGTGAACTAATCACTCTGAACCGATCATTCTCTGTAAACTAATCTTTCGCCTCGTTCTCGCAGATTCGTTTCATTTGTCACGTGACAAAGAGCTCGGGTCTTTTTTGCTCTCGTTCATCTTCACATTGTGGTGGGTTTTTATTTCTTAGCTTTTCACATGGTTTTAATTACTTATGGCATTTTGTGTACTTTGTAGACTTTGTCAGCGGAAGCAAACCATGTTGCCTTATTTTGTGTCGGAGAACCGCAGCTTTCTTTACAACGCCCACAATAGGGCTAAAGCGCCACCTGCTGTAAAACGAATGAAATGATTAGTTCAAGATTCGTTCACGACTCGTTCATTTTACTGTTCGAGAGTCAAAGATTCGAATCAATAAAAAGAGTCGGTCTTCCCATCACTACAACAAATATTTAATATGACTCGGTAGTCACGAGTCACGAATCTTTCATATGACTCGGGAGTTACGAGTCATATGAAAGATTCGTTCATTTTGAACGAATCACTCGCGAACAACACATCACTAGCACACACCGTTGTTATTTTGCATGATGATGCTTCTGAGAGTGAAGAACTCAAGCTTAGCTGAGAAATGTCTCCTACTCCTCCTTTTCTTCCTTCTTCCTCCCCCACCAGTGGACCAGTGGACGTTGGCTTTCCCGGTGACTTCCATCATTATCGAGTTGATCTTGGTATCTTTGGTCAGCTCGAAAGAGATGTGTCCAGTGACCAGATCTCCGCTGGAGAACGTGTCCCGTCCCTGTAGGGTGTTGAAATTAATGCCGAAGTTCTTAAATGTCTGCTCGAACATTGTCCCACCAGACTGAAAACTGTATATGTAGTTGATAACGTCGACAATCCTGTTGCATGAGATTGTAAAGACGCGGAAGTCCGGGGACTAGGGGTGGGCGGATCGATCCAAATATCGATATTATCGATACTAAGCAAGTACTTGGATCGGATCGATACTATTGTCCTGGGATCGATACTTCGCTCCTCCACCAATTTCCTCAAAGCGCCGCTTCTCTGCGCAAATAGCGCACCCCCCTCTCTCTCTCGCCCAGCGCCCCCTGCTACTCTCTGA